TATCTCACTCTTTTATTAGTGTATAGATCTTGGGAAATAGTGAGAACACTAGCATGTGAGTCCCTACTACGGCCTGATCATTAAGATATTTTATAGTGTTTTCCTTTCTCCTCCTCTTCCTCCTCCTCCTCCTCCTCCTCCTTCAGCTTTTTTTGTTCATTTTCACAGCTATGCTGAAGTGGGTTATATAATCCATATTTTATTTTAGGGAACCTAAATGAGAGAAGATGGGCAAGTAACGTGAGCTGTGGCTCAGAGGAGGTTGGATTGCACCTAGTTGGTGCTGCAGGTGTGAAGCACTGTTAAACCCTGTCTCTGGGCAGTTTTCAGGGCCCTTGTCAGGTGTATCTGCCCTTAAACTGTGGCCGAGGGAAACTCCTCCAGACTTCCTAGGTCTGCTGGATGTCAACTCTGAGATCCACTCCCTTCCCCTCTAGCCAACTAGTAGAGTTAGCAGTGGCTGAGGCAATATTCTTTTTCCATTGTGTCTCTCTACTAGAAAGTTCGCTGACACTGCAGCTCTGTCCACTTTCTGCTTCTGCTTCCATCTATTGCTCCTCAATGGCAGACTAATTTGTAGTAAACAGCATTTTGACTGTTTCACTTTCCTCAGCTCAAAGTCCTAACTCTGAAAAAATGTGCAGCCCAGCTGGCATGGCTCAGCAATTGAGCAGATGAACCAGGAGGTCAGGGTTCAATTCCCAGTCAGGGCACACGTGGGTTTTCTCCCCAGTGCGGGACTTGTAGGAGGCAGCCAGTCAATGATTCTCTCATCACCGATGTTTCTCTCTCTCTCTCTCCCCATTTCCCTTCTCTCTGAAATCCATAAAAATATTTTCTTAGAAATGTGTGTGCACTAATATAGAAGATGTTTATAGATGTGAGTGATTGCTCACCTACCAGTTTACAGAGCATCTGTTCCCAACCAGCACGCCCTGAGCGGAGGGTAAAGGGGCCATCATCCGTTCTCATGGAGTTTATGGAGTTGGAGAGGCTGACAAGTAAACTGAAAACTTCAAGTCAATGGGGAAGACTAATTTCTATATTCTAAGATATATATGTACACACATATGTACTAGTATACACGAAAGAATGAAATCAGAAATTCTCTGTTATAAATGACAATCTTCAACTGGCATTTAAAACTTTTTTATTTTTTCCAAGTTTATGCTAATAATAATGTATAACATGAATGATGGAAAACTTTTAAAAGCCCAGCTGGTGTGGCTCGTGGTTGAGTGGCAATGTATACGCCTGAAGGTCACCGTTCGATTCCTAGTCAGGCATGTGCCAGGCCTGGGGACTCAATCCCAGTAGGGCATGTGCAGAGGCAGCTTATCAAGGATTCTCTCTCACCATTGATGTTTCTATCTCCCTTCCTCTCGGAAATCAATAAAATATTTTAAAATAAGTAAAAATTAAACATATAAGGGCTCCCACTGACCAAATATGAGACAATTTGAGCAATAAGATAGATAATAGTGGGCACAGATTATAATATTACACCAAATACAATGATACTAATCTTTTGTTGCTGTTAATCTTCACTTGAGGACACTTTGTCCTGTTGCTTAGAGGAGTGGAATGGAGGGAGAGAGACAGGGAGATACCCTGTTTCCCTGAAAATAAGCACTAGGTCTTATTTTCAGGGGTTGTCTTATTTTTCCATGAAGAAGAATATGGTACACATTTATTGTTAAATGAAAATAAAGGAAATTTATTAGCTGTATACGGTACGGCAGTACGGTAGTTGTCAACACAAACCAGACAAACTGTGAATCCTACAGTATCAAGAATTTACTCATTTGCTGAAGCCGGTTTGGCTCAGTGGTAGAGCGTCGGTCTGCAGACTGAAAGGTCCCGGGTTTGATTCTGGTCAAGGGCATGTACATTGGTTGCGGGCATATCCCTGGTAGGGGGTGTGCAAGAGGCAGCTGGTCGATGTTTCTCTCTCATCGACGTTTCTAGCTCTCTCTCTTCCTTCCTATCTGTAAAAAATCAATAAAATATATATTTTTTTAAAAAGAATTTCTTCATTTATTCAATGACAATCATGTCATTATCTTCTGGAACATCATAATAACAATCCAATTCCTGAATTTCCTGGTGAATTTCTTTATATATATATATATATATATATATATATATATATATATATATATATATTGATTTCTGAGAGATAGGGAGAGGGAGAGAGTGATAGAAACATCAGTGATGAGAGGGTGGTGAATTTCTTCTGACTCCATTTCTTTCAGAATCAGTGGACCAAATCTCTCATGTTTAGCAATAGCATTCTGAGACAGAGCCTAGGGAGGCCTTATTTTCGGAGGATGCCTTATATTTCACTCAGAAGGAAACCTGTAAGTAGGTCTTATTTTTGGAGGATGTCTTATTTTCGGGGAAACACGGTAGAAACATTGGTGTGAGAGAGAGGGCTTCTAGCACATGCCCCAACCAGGGGCAGGGATCGAGCCTGTGCCCTGGCCTGGAACTGAGCCCAGGAACCTTCAGTCTGGGGACAACGCTCCAACTCCTGAGCCAATACTAATCTTTTTTTATATATATATATTATTTTCTAAGTTTATTACAGAAATATTTCATGATTTAAACATTTTTCTTCAATTTTTTAAAAATATATATTTTTTTATTGATTTTTTACAGAGAGGAAGGAAGATAGAGAGCTAGAAACATCGATGAGAGAGAAACATTGACCAGCTGCCTCCTGCACACCCCCTACTGGGGATGTGCCCGCAACCAATGTACATGCCCTTGACCAGAATCGAACCTGGGACCCTCCAGTCCGCAGACCGACGCTCTACCACTGACCCAAACCGGCTTTGGCAATAATTTTTTTTTTTAAAGAATTTTCTTTCAAGTCCAGTCGCTCTTTAAAAAATATATATTTTTTAATATACATATTATATATATATTTATTTATTGATCTCAGAGAGGAAGGGAGAGGGAGAGAGAGAAACATCAATGATGAGAGACAATCATTGATTGGCTGCCTCCTGTGCGCCCCACACAGGATTGAGCCTGCAACCCCCACAACCTGGGCATGTGCCCTGATCCGGAATGAAACTGTGACCTTTTGGCTCATAGGTTGATGCTCAACCACTGAGCCACACTGGCCGGGCTTTTTTTTTTTCCTTTTTTAAATGGGTAGCTGGTTTCTCTTTATTTGGGCCTTAGGAAGAAAATTAACTTTGATCACATATTACCTTTTTAAAAACAATCTAATTCTACATATTGTAGATAGGATCAATGATCAGAGACGTCATTTCTTTTGTAAAAACTGGCCTAATGCTATGGCTCAATTGGTTCCATGTTGTCTTGTGCACCAGGACAACGAACATATTTTATGTTTTTATTGATTTCAGAGAAGACGGGAGAGTGAGAGAGACAGAAACATCAATGATGAGAGAGAATCATTAATAGGCTGTCTCCTTCATGCCTCCAACTGGTGATCCATGCAGTTGGGCAATTACTGTATCTTTTTTATCCACTCATCTACTGATGGGCACTTGAGCTGTTTCTAGACACTGGCTATGAGTATAGGGTGCATACATTCTTTCTGATTGGTGTTTCAGGTTTCTTGGGCTATATTCCCAGAAGTGGGGTAGCTGGGTCAAATGGAGTTCCATTTTCAATTATTTGAGGAAACTCCATACTGTTTTCCATAATGGCGACCCCACGGTGGATGCTCAAACCTGTGGGCCGGGCTAGGTACCGTATTTTTTGTTTTGTTACAATGGGAAATGCGATTGTACTAGTGTTCTTGGTTTCTCTTTCTGAGAGCTCATTGCTGGTGTGTACAATGTAAGCTTGCTGGCCTGGCTCCATGGTGGCCATGGGCCTGAGAGCCAGGGATTCTCTGCTCCTGGCGTTTCCATCCCCTCCTTCCCTCCCTCCTCTCGGGAACCGGTACAAATGCGTTCTCAGAAGAGAAAGCAGAGCTGCCAGCCCACGGAGAGGCCCTGGCCCAGGGACGGGGTGACGGCGGGGTTAGGTCTGAACCGGGGCCTGGACTGGGCTCTCCCCCCCCTCCGGGTTGGGCGCAGACGCTGCCCGCCCCCGGCTCCCGGGCGCTGGTAGGTGGCTGCGGAGCGGCGCCCTCAGGCCCAGCTCCGGGCCGGAGCGCCAGCGGAGGCCCCCCTTCCGCCGCCGCCGGAGCGCCCCGCGCTGGTTCCGGGGCCCGCGGCGCCGCTCCGTTACGCGCATCAGGCGGAGTCTCCGCGCCCCGGCGATCCTCCCGCCCGGCCGGTGCGGGCAGCGGAGGCCATGGGCTGTGCCGGGCGAGCTCCCTCCCCCACGGCCGCCCGCCGGGCGCCCCCGGGGGCCCGCAGGGTCCGGCTCCGCCCGCTCCTTCCGCCCGGTGGCGCCCGCCTCGGAGGCGGGGCGGGCGGCAGGCACCGCAGCCCAGCCGCCGGGTCACGGGCCCAGGGCACCGGAGGCGCTGAGTGACCCTTCGACTGCAGCCCTGGGAGGCCTCGGGGTGACCCTGTGAGCCCCGCCGGGCGGCCTCCTCCTGGAGCGGCATCGGGCCAGGTCCGCCCGGGCGCCGAGCTGGGGGCACCGGGCTGGGCCAGTTCCGTGGCCTCGCACGTGGCGCTGCGGCACCTGCCGATGGGCGTGCGGGCTCACCCCGCCCGTGCGGCCCGCACCCAGGGGCCCGCGGCAGCTCTGCTGGGTGCGGGGCGGGGTGGGGCAGGGCAGGCGGGGGGGGGGGGGGGCGGCCCGGGCCGGGCTGGGCTGTGCGGGCTGTGCAAGGGGGGGGGGCAGGCGGTGCGGGGCGGCCAGGCGGTGCGAGCCGGGCGGTGCGGGTCAGGCCCTCCTCCGCCCCCGGGCTGGCAGGCAGTCGTCGGAGCCGTTAATCACCGCGGAGGAGGACGGGGCGGGAGCACGGGAGCGGCAGGAGGCCGGCTGGGGACACAGGCGCCGCTGGCCCCCGCAGCTTGGCTGTGGCTCTGTTTTCTTGTCTCCCCAGGACACCGGGTTCCCTCCGCGCCGCCGGCTTAATGATTGCCCGGAGGCGGCTATAAAGGGCCTGGTGCGGGAGGGGGAGGCCAGCTCAGCAGATCGGCCGGCAGCTGCCGGAGGGAGCGCGGCAGAGAGGCCGGTCAGCGCCTGTCCGCCTCAGGCCGGGCTCCGCCATGGCCGCCCGGGGCTACGGCTACTACCGCGCCGTCATCTTCGCAGCCATGTACGGGGGCTACAGCCTCTACTACTTCAACCGCAAGACCTTCTCCTTCGTCATGCCCTCGCTGGTGGAGGAGGTCCCTCTGGACAAGGACGACCTGGGTGAGCCCTCGGGCAGGTGGCGGCCGATGAGTGTGCAGCTCAGTGGTGTGCGCATCTGCACAGCGGAGGGCGGGGACGGGGGCCGAGTCCGCGGTGTGGGTGAAGGACTGCGATCCATGCCGCCTAGGGTCTGTGCTGTCCCAGGGCACCCAGGGGCACTGCTGGCGCGTGCGCCCAGGGGGTTGAGTCCGGCTGCCTGTGGTGCGGGTGCGCTGAGAGCACGGAGCGTGCCAGCAGGCTACCTTTCCGGAGGACTACGTCCCCGATCCATTCTAAGTCCTTCGCCCCATGCCCAAAGGCGGGGAGCAGAGTGCCAGAGACCTGGGCACCAGGGTGAGGGAACCAAGCGGATGTGAACCCCGGGAGGGGCTCCTGTTCTGCCCCTCTGGCTTCCAGACAGCTGTCGCTGGCACTCCCCAGGAGGCCGAAAGGCCACGGGTCAGGCGGGCTGGCGCTGCCGGAAGCGGGGAGAGCCACTGAGGCAGGGCAGTGGCGCCGGCACGGGGCAGGGCCCGCACGGTCCTCCTGCGCTCCTGGCAGGAAGCTGCCTCACCCTGCCAGCACCTCTGCCCCCCGACCCCTCTCCCCAACCTCTCCTGTGCCTCTGCCTGCCCCTGACCCCCGGGCCTGTCCCCCCGCAGGGCTCATCACCAGCAGCCAGTCGGCAGCCTACGCCATCAGCAAGTTTGTGAGCGGAGTGCTGTCTGACCAGATGAGCGCTCGCTGGCTCTTCTCGTCGGGGCTGCTCCTGGTCGGCCTGGTCAACGTGGCCTTTTCCTGGAGCTCCACCGTGTCCGCCTTCGCCGCCCTCTGGTTCCTCAACGGCCTGGCGCAGGGCCTGGGCTGGCCCCCGTGCGGGAAGGTCCTCAGGAAGGTGAGGTCTCCTCCGCCTCCGCCGAGGGGTTGCAGGAGTGCGGTCCGCTCCCGCCGCTTGTCTGTTGGTGTTTTAGGAGCCTGACACGGGGAGGGAGGGATCAGGCGGAAATGAGGGAATGGCCCTCCTCATTCCGTCATGTGAGCTTCCGGGTCTGCCCCTGGATCCCCTCCGCGTGGGCGGCAGGGAGGCTGGGCACCTGCCTACTCTGGCCCTCTGTGCCCCCCGCAGTGGTTTGAGCCGTCTCAGTTTGGCACTTGGTGGGCCATCCTGTCCACCAGCATGAACCTGGCTGGAGGGCTGGGCCCCATCCTGGCAACCGTCCTGGCCCAGAGCTACAGCTGGCGCAGCACGCTGGCCCTGTCGGGGGCGCTGTGTGTGGCCGTCTCCTTCCTGTGTCTCCTGCTCATCCGCAACGAGCCGGCCGATGTCGGACTCCGCAACCTGGACCCCACCCCCTCCAAGGGCAAGAAGGGTGAGCACGGGCGAGGCGGGCCCTCGGTCATGCGCGGCCATGCTATCGAGGACTGGCTCCGGTGACGTGTGCGCCCCTGCACAGCGGGTGCCCGGCCAGGGGGAGGGGCAGGATGGTGATGGAGAGGGTGGGCGTAGACAAAACTCCATTCCCAACACATTTAAGTGCCAGACAAATGGCAGCGCCCATAGTGCTAGGATTCATCTCGCCCCGCAGCAGCCTAAGCGGCCGCGCTCTCCTCCCTCCGCCCCGTGCTCATGTCGCCCCCTGGCTGAGGCGGGCAGCGGGCGTGAGGGACCTCGCTGCCTCGCTCTGGCGGACTCTGTTCCTGGGGCTGGCAATGGCCGGCGGGCGCCCTGGGGGAGGGCAGCAGAGCAGAGCCTGAGGCCTGCCTCCCCCCAGGCTCCGTGAAGGAGGAGAGTACCTTACAGGAGCTGCTGCTGTCCCCCTACCTGTGGGTGCTCTCCACGGGCTACCTGGTGGTGTTTGGAGTGAAGACCTGCTGTACGGACTGGGGCCAGTTCTTCCTCATCCAGGAGAAAGGACAGTCAGCCCTTGTGGGTAAGAGGCCATTGGGACAGAAACCAGTGCAGGGTGGGCAATGCAGGCCCGGCTTCCCTTCTTTCCTCTTCTTCTCTCCCGAGGCTGGTGCTATGCAGGCAGCTGTGACCAGCCCTTGGGGACCCTCAGGGACAACCAATGTCCAACACCTTTTTCTCTCCCACCCCCTGCAGGGAGCTCCTACATGAGTGCCCTGGAGGTCGGGGGCCTTGTAGGCAGCATTGCCGCCGGCTACCTGTCTGACCAGGCCATGGCGAAGGTGAGTGGGCAGAAGGGACAGGAGGGTCCCTAAATCTTCCAGCCAGAGCCCTAGCCAGTTTGACCCAGTGGATAGAGCAGTGGCCTGTGGACTCAAGGGCCCTGGGTTTGATTCTAGTCAAAGGCATATGCCCGGGTTGCAGGCCCCATCCCCAGTGGGGCGTGCAGGAGGCAGCCCATCAATGATTCTCTGTCGTCATTGATGTTTCTGTCTCTCTCCCCCTTCCTCTCTGAAATCACTCTCCCTCTCTCTCTCCATATATATATATAAATATATACACACACACACACCTTCCCAGCCAGAACGGGACAGGCACCAGAGGGGGGAGCCCTGGGGCACAGGCAGGTTGGCATGTGCTGGTTTAGGCCAACGTGGAAATCAGGCCTTTTGGGGAAAGGGTTTTTAAAAATATATAACTTAGGCCAAAGTGAGCCAGAATTTCTCAGCCTACCAGTGGGCTCCTCACAAGCCCAGCAATGTTTGGGAGGAGGTGCAGTGGCCAGCAGTCCCGAACTGGCTGCGGGGAGGAAGGGACATTGGAGTTTGGACCCAGAGCATCGGAGGTCCCGGTGGAGGGACTGGAACGGCTGTCAGCAGAGGCCTGTGTCAGAGTCCAGGGTCTTGGGCCTGACACTGCTGGACCGTCTCCACAGGCTCGGCCGTCCACCCACGGGAACCCTCGCCATGGCCTGCTGCTGCTGATGATGGCAGGCATGACGGCGTCCATGTACCTCTTCCGGGTCACCGTGACCAGGGACGCCCCCAAGGTAAGGGCTGGGCCAAGGCAGGCACGGGATGAGGAGGGAGCAAGGGCCACGGACTCGCTCTCCTCTGGCTGTTTCCCTTTCTGGTTCTGTTTGTGCCTCGGCTCCTCTCCTCTGCACCTCATGCCCGCCCTGACTCTGCTCTGGTTTTCTCCTCTTCCTCTGCTCCTCAGGACGCTGCTTTCTGGACTCTGGCTCTTCACTCTCTCTCTGAGCTCACGGGCTTTACGGAGCAGGAGGTGCCTTATCTTTGCCTGTTTCTCACCTTTGTCCCCACTGCCGTGCCCGCCAGTCCCACTCAGAGGCAGGGCTCCTGTGTCTCCCCCCTGCATGGCCTCAGGTGGCAGCCACTCCCCGGCTCCACGCTGGCAGCTGGGAGTGGGTGAGGGTGAGGGGTCCCTTGTCCCTGGGGTGCCTCCTCTCTGGTGGGGCGGTGGCGTGCCCGGCCCTCATGCCGCCTGCACTCCCCGCAGCTCTGGATCCTGGTGTTGGGAGCTCTGTTTGGTTTCTCCTCTTACGGTCCCATTGCCTTGTTTGGAGTCATTGCCAATGAGAGTGCCCCTCCCAACTTGTGTGGCACCTCCCATGCCATCGTGGGACTCATGGCCAATGGTAAGCGATCCCCTTGCGTCTCTGCCTCACCCCCACATGGGCAGTTAGAGGCTGGGGCGCCCCCCTGACTAGTTTCACAAGTGACTCTGCTCTTCCTCCTCCTCCCTGCAGTGGGTGGCTTTCTGGCCGGGCTGCCCTTCAGCACCATCGCCAAGCACTACAGCTGGAGCACAGCCTTCTGGGTGGCGGAAGTGATCTGCGCAGCCAGCACAGCTGCCTTCTTCGTCCTGCGGAACATCCGCACCAAGATGGGCCGCGTGCCCGCGAAGGCCGAGTGAGAGGCAGGTCCGAGCCCGCCCCGGCCCCGCCCCCGCTGGGAGGGGCGGGCTGCTCTGGCCGCACTGAGCCCCACCTCCTTCTGCTCCTCTTCCCGGCCAGGATCAGTGGCTAACGAGGTTCCGCTCCCGTCCTGCGCTCTATTGAAAAGATACCCTCTGTTCTAGGATTCCATTAGCTTCTATTTTCTGCCGTCAAACAGGAAGCCCTTACAGCCAGGAACCCTCCATTCCTCTCTCCTGGGCCCTGCCCGGCCCCACGGGGCCCTGCCTTCTGCCCTGAGGCCTCTCAGCAGAGGTAACTGCTACTGCCAGCTCCTCAGGGGCCAGGGGCGACCATCACTCTCACCATTATCCTGGGTACCCCTCCCGTCCGGTATGGGTGGGAGGGGAGAAAGACTTTATAGGTTTAGCCAATGACCCAGGTCCAAAAGATTAAAGCTAGATTTGATACTAAACACAGATAGCGAGTTAGTCCTTCTTTCAAGAGGAATATATAAGCCAGGCAGCTTTCCCCAAAAACACCCTCCTGGGGCCTGCTCTTCCCACCCTGAAAGTGAGCCAGCTCCCTGGAACGGGAGAGCGGACACGGCCTCGAACGTACGTCTCCTCCGCCTTCAGTTTAACACTATCTACCTCAACCATCACTTCAGAGGTGCGGTTACCGGGTTTGGAGCAGATTAAGGAGTGGAGACAGAAGCCTGGGTCTGCCAGTAACTGCCTCTGAGACTGCAGCACAGAGCCTCGCCCCGAGGTTTGAGTGTGAGGATTAAATGAGATAAAGCAACAATTCAGTAAAGCCCGGCTGTAAACACTTGTAAAGTTCTATCACCATCACCACCACCATCACCAGCCCAAAAGACAGAGCAATTATGAAACTAGATCCAAGGGCCCTGATTCAAAGTCCCACGTTCACTCATTTAATGAGCACATTTGTGTGTTTCTTACTAGATTATCTCCCCAGAATTCCTTATCATTTTTGCCTCCCCTCCTGGGCCTTTCCACCAAAACCATCAATTAGGATCGCAAACACTGAGATCAAAGGAATGTTTATTACAGCATTTATGGGCCCACTCCTCCATAAATAAAGTGTGCAGAGTCGGGAGTGGGACCAGGACAGGTATGAGGGAAGAGCAGGGCAGTAGGCTCAGGGCTCAGTACCGTAAGCTCAGCCCCTCCCCCTTCAGACGTACTAACAAGGCGCCCGGGGCTCCACTGGCGGCCCCAGTGGGCCCTGCCACAGGGCTGCGTTCGGGAAGGCAGCAGTGGGTGCTGCAGGGTCAGCCTATGACCCGGGTCCGAAAGTTCCAGCCTTCTCTGCCACCTCCAGGGCTAACTTCAGGTTCTGGTCGAACAGCTCACACCTGCACCAGGCCCAGGAGGCACACGTAAGGACAGAGGGAGCGGCTGAGGCTCTCCCCGCGCTGGGTACAGAGGCAGAGCCGGTGAAGTGCCTGCTTGAAGGATACACTTTCCAAGAAAAGTCATGAATTTCTTAAATAAGTAAAAGGCTGCTCGCTCTTGCTTTGTTTTTTAAAAGCTCTGTCAGACCTCAAGGTGGCTTTGGAGGAGAGCACACAGGGGGCAGAACTTGATCTGGGGAGTGGGACCACCTACCTGATAGGCATTTCCAGGGAGTAGAATGGATTCTTGAGGGCGAAGTCTGAGTAGATCTCATAAATCTTCCGGAGCAGAGAGTCTATTCCGGCTTGCCTAGGGTCTGCCAGCACCACAAACTTGATTCCTAGGGAGGGGCCAGCAATCGTTACCAAAGGGAGAGGCAACTAACACGTCACCCTGTGTTTGTACAGCACTCCAGTTTGGCAAAACACTTCCATCAGCCCGTTTCGTTTTATCCTTATTGCTCCAGAGCAGAGAGGCAAGGCTTTAAATCCATAAGGAGACCAAGAGCTGAAGTGATTTTATCACGTCCCTCAGCTGAGATGAGGCTTTGGGTTTTCTCTCTCACTTTCCTCTGGAGTTGGGGGTCCCTCAGCAGAAAGTGCAGGCAGCGGACAAACTCAGGCAACTTTCAATTATCTGCGTTAAAAGGGAGTGAAGCAATGGAACTCAAGATCCAAAGGTCACCACTTGGCATTCAAATTTCATTTTGAAACAACACTTTCCAAAATGTGCGCACCAGGAGCTGACAGTAAGTTTTGTGTGTGCACAAGATAACTGGGCTGAGCATTCTGGTGGTGTGGACAAAACCAGCGGCAGATTACACATTAATTAGCTTTGGATTCACAAAACAGACAGACGTGTCCATGCTTGACGGCCCCGGGAAGCCAACCGCTGCTTCCCCAGCTTTGGCCAGTCCCTCCCACAGCCAGCCCACTGCGTCCCTGGGCCTCTCTGGAGACGTACCTGTCAGGGTCTGGAAGCAGTGCAGCTTGAATGTGTCTGTCTCCAGCATCTCGATGCCCGAGCTGCCCTGCTCAGGAGACAGCTGAGAGCCGATCGCGAACAGCCTATTTGCAAAGGAGGCAGAGCTGGGGACGCCTCTGCGGCCGAGCTCTCACTACAGTGTGAGGCAGGCAGACCGGGCAGTGGGAACAAAATTCCTTTCGAGTTCACTCGAATTCTGCAAGGATTTTACAGCATGTCCTCAAATAACAACGTTTAACACTGATGAGATGCCATAGGAACTTTTCACATCAATTGACCTGTGGCAAAACTGGTTTCATGATACAATTGACACTTAAACATGGGTTTGAGCCGAAACCGGTTTGGCTCAGTGGTAGGGCGTCGGTCTGCGGACTGAAAGGTCCTGGGTTCAATTCCGGTCAAGGGCATGTACCTTGGTTGCGGGCATATCCCCAGTAGGGGGTGTGCAAGAGGCAGCTGATCAATGACTCTCTCATCGATGTTTCTAACTCTCTCTATCCCTCTCTCTTCTTCTCTGTAAAAAATCAATAAAATATATATTTTTTAAAATTGAACAAAACAGGTTTGAACTGTGTGGGTCCACTTATACACAGTTTCCCCAAAAACCATATAGTCGGCCTTCCTATCCAGGGGTTTCAAATCGAAGGATTCAACCACCTCTGGATCAAAAATAGTATTTTCAATCCATAGCAGGGGATTCCTGGAAGTTGAGGGCCGACTGTCTGCAGTTGTATGCTGTTTTACTTACTGGTTTTTAGAGAGAGAGGGAGGGACAAAGAAACATTGATTTGTTCCACTTATTTATAGGTATTCACGGGCTGATTCTTGTATGTGCCCTGATGGGGATCCAACCTTCAATCTTGGCATCTGGACCATGCTCCAACCACTGGACTTGCAGACACCAGGGGAAGACAATTGTTTGGGAGTTGTTATTTGTGTTGGGCTCACACCCCTAAAACCCTCTGGTTCAAGGCCAACTGTACCTTCTTTTGCTTAATGTTGCAGAACCCACTGAGGAGAATAAGTGAGGTCTTATTGTATACCCATACTTTGCTATACAACATTTGACATTAAGAACTTTGGAAAAATTAACCCTGAAGCCCACAATGCGACTCAATGCTTGTGCGTGGACCTATGAACCAGGTCAGGGTTAATGGCCTTCGGCCAGCGCGACGGCATCCGCGACGGATTCCTAGTCAAAGCACAGGCCAAGAGTTGTGGCCTCCATCCCCAGTAGGGGGCGTGCAGGAGACAGCTGATCAATGATTCTCCCTTATCATTCATGTTTCTCTCTCGAATCAATTAAACTTAACAATGGGAATGTTACTTAGCCCAAGGCTAGCATACCCATCACAGCTCATGCTGTGGGTGAGAACAGAAAATGATCCTGAAGATTTTTTACTATAAACAGAGCTGACATAAGCCATAGCCACCGATGCCAGTATTGCCTAAAACCTGGCCGAACAGTTTTCCTAACGACTTAAAAGCAGAGTGAGGGAAGCACTGCCGCTCAGGAGACCGCCTGCCTCCGGAGCACTACCCCGCCAGCCTAAGAGCGTGGAGCTCCGCGGGAGGGGCTTCTGCCGGCCAGGTTGGAGGACTTACGAGTGGAACATGGAGGCCAGCATGAGCTTCTCATTGGAGGTGAGGCGGGGCCGGCCGAATCGCACGGACACGGGATAGTTGGCAGGGTTTCCGAGATACTCCAGCACCTCTTTGCCATCGGCCGTGTACTTGCCGTTCACGTCCTTGCCGTTGATGGCCAGCACTGCGTGGCCCACTGCAGAGGCGAGGCAAGGGGAGGGGAGGGTCAACGAAGCCCCATCCAGTGGATTCCGCCAAGGGAACAGGGATGCAGTCCGGGTCCCAGCCCCAACCGCAGCCCCCCGCCGAGGATGCCCTCCCTCCCGAGCCCAGCCCATCGCCGCGGACTCCCTCCGAGCCCAGCCCACCCCGGATGCCGTCGCGCTGGCCGAAGGCCACGAGCACTCGCTCGTCGTGTAGCTTGAGCAGCAGGTCGAGCGGATAGCTGAAGGTTTTCTCAGCCTCGGCTCGTGGCGCGTAGCTGTCGAGCTGGTAGATCAGGCCGCCGGCTTTGTTCACCACGTACACGCTGAAAATAGCCATGGCTGCGCCGGCGGCGAGCGGGCGGCGGGCGGCCTGGCTGGGCCGCGGCCGCCGCCCCGCCGCCCTCACCTCCCCGCCCGCCGCCGGCCGCGCTGGCCCAGGTGAGGCTACGCGCGGGGGGCGCGACGCCGGAAACCGGTCGCCTGGACCCGCAGCGGGTTTCCGGTCCCGCTCCCGGCTCTCAGTGCCCGGGCAGAGCAGCGCGCGGCCGCTCCCGAACCCGCGGCGCAGCTCGACGAGGCAGGCGGGGCCCGGCGCCGGAATCGGAGCCCAGCTGCTCAGCCCGCTTCCGCTTCCGGCTCCAGCGAGGGGCGGGGCCTCGGGCGCCCTCCGCGGGCCCCGCCTCTTGCCCCTTGCCCCGGAAGCGCTTGCCGGCGGGGACGGCTTCTGCCTCCGGTGCGGAGCGGCGCTTCCTCTCGGGCCGACATCTTGGCGAGGCAGCAGCGTCTCCGTGCTCTCCGACCCCCGCGATGGTGAGTGCGGCGCTGCGGCCCGGACGCCGGCGGCGCCGTGTCCACGCGGCGCAGGCTCCGCGGGAGGGACCTGGGACCGCGGCCGCAGCCGGGGCGGGTGGCCCGCCGCCACGTGCTCCGCTGGGGCCGGATCGGGCGCGGCGGTGGGGTCTGGGACGCGCTAGGGGCCGGCGGTTATCCCCACTTTTCTTCCACAGCCGCCCAAGGACGACAAGAAGAAGAAAGATGCTGGAAAGTCGGCCAAGAAAGACAAAGACCCTGTGAACAAGTCGGGGGGCAAGGCCAAAAAGAAGGTAGGAGTGAGCCCCTCTGAGAGGAAGGAACACGGGGGCGCCCGTCCCAGACGGCCGTAGTAGTGAGTGATGTGTAGCTTTTAGCGTTGTGGGATGCAGAGGCAGACCATCAGAGCTCATGCGTCTATCGCCATTCTCGCTTCTTCTCATTTCAAGAACGGTGTGGTGCATGCTACTCGGAACTTCAAATGTGAAGACATTTGTTCTGGTGCCTCTTATGTAACATTATTCCAACCAGTCCGGTGGAACTCCACCCATGTGGAGTTCAAAGCCTGATTTATGTGATGCCATTAAAGGTTACCAGGGTCTCTTACTTTATATCCTAATTATTTTAATCTTAATTTGTAGTTTCAGACCCAGGAACCTCAGTCCTGTCACCCTCCCAGCCCTGCCAATACAGGAGCGTCTGATAGAGCTGGAGCGCAAGGGGGCTTCTGTCAGGAGCACTGACCCTTCCTTTTTGTTTTTGTGAGCAGAAGTGGTCCAAAGGCAAAGTTCGGGACAAGCTCAATAACCTGGTCTTGTTTGACAAAGCCACGTATGAGAAGCTCTGTAAGGAAGTTCCCAACTACAAGCTCATCACCCCAGCGGTGGTCTCCGAGCGGCTGAAGATCCGCGGCTCCTTGGCCAGGGCCGCCCTTCAGGAGCTCCTCAGCAAAGGTGAGGGGGGATATTGCACTGGAGTGGTTTTGCACATATTTTTAAATTTTATTTTTATTGATTTCAGAGAGGATAGAAACATAAGTGATGAGAATTGCTGATGGGCTGCCTCCTCTACACCCCCCACTGGGGATCGAGCCCACAACCCAGGCACATGCCCTGACCAGGAATTGAACAGTGACCTCCTGGTTCATAGGTCGATGCTCAACTATAGCCACGATGGCCATTTTAGCCATCTTAAATATTTTAACTGAAATTCGTAAAAAAAAAAAAAAAAAAAAAAAAAAGCATAGGCTTGGCTAACCAGTGGTGGTTAGTAATATGACTCTAACATGTCGTTTTTGTGCTCTAAGTGCTGTGAGGTGGCCATCTTGAGCAGGTGGTGGGTCCCCTCACTTACAAAGGATAAGTAAAATTAGGCTACCATGCAGAATGTAGCGTGTCTGTTATTGAATTCATGCTCAAATCCAGCAATTGTTTTGGAAAGCAGTATAACACAGCACTATGTGAAAGCCTTGTTCTTTCTCCTTAGGACTTATTAAACTGGTCTCAAAGCACAGAGCCCAGGTGATTTACACCAGAAACACCAAAGGCGGGGATGCCCCCGCTGCCGGAGAAGATGCGTGAACAATAGGTGAGCAAGAATCCAGGGGCTTGTGCGGGAATGTGGCTCCCCTTTACAAGCCGTAGACTGATGCTTTTTACCTTTCTTTCTTTTTTTAACAGATCTCACCAGCTGTACATTTTGAAAAATAAACCTTTATTAAATCAGTAAGTGGGTGTGTCTTTCCTAAGTGAGGCCATCACGAAGGATAGGATAGCGGCAGGGGTAGGGTGGGCTTCTAGCCTTAGGAAACCTTTTTCTTTGACTGCTGTTTGTTCCTTGCTGCAGCTTCAGTTTTGAATTGATGCCTGAAAGGAAATGAGGGGTTAACAGGACAAAAGGATGGCTGGGGGGAGGGGAGTCTTGGCCCTGGGCTCATACCTGGATTGCCAGCGGCGCCCATTGTTCCAGACCCGGCCGAAAGAGGGCAGCCAGCCCACACTGGTGCTGGAGCTGTGGTCAAAGTTGGCTCCAACTCTATCTGGGGGGAGTTTCTTCAATTTCTGTTTTTCCTCTATAACAAGTAATGACTTTATGTGAGTAGGCAGCTATGAAGAGCCCCACTGCCCTTCTTTAGTTCACTCACTTTCTTTAAGAAACTCTTCATAGGAAGGGCCTATCGGCTGGTTCCCAGAGCTGTGCTCCTCTGGCGCCATCCAGGGTGGCGTGGCGCCTGGAAGAGGCCACTGGTTACTTGGAGCCCCGTATACGGATGCCAGCAGTTCCTCCGCTGGGGAGGACTGCTCCAGTTGACACTTGAGGCGGCTGTTTTCAGATTGGGGCTACTATGACGAGTTGTGTACAGCCTGTCTTTACTCTTGGAATGGCTGGATCACAACGTATGTTTAAGGCATCGCTTGACTTTTCCAAAGTGACTGCCGTTTCCCACTGCGCCAGCAATGAACAAGGCTTCCATCGCGGGCCCAGCCTCACTGAGCCGTTCTGAGGAACAGCTCGTTTCTGAGTTTGGGGTTCTTGATATACTCAGAATCTAAGCCCTTCATCAATTGGTTTTCCCTTTTTTCCCGTCATTCCCATCCTGACCCTCCTACCCTTTGGAAATCATCAGCTTGTTCTCTATATGGGCCTGTTTCTCTTGGGGTTTTTTAGATTTCACATATAAATGAGATTGTATGGTATTTGTCTTTTTCTGACTTACATTCAGCATAATACTTTCTAGGTCCAAATGGCAAGCTTTCATTTTTTTTATTGTGGATACACATGGATAACATCTTCCTCCATTTATCTGTTGGGCAGCTAACTGCAGTTAGTGCTTTATCTTAATCGTATTTCTCCTGGGGCACCGTTCCTGGTGCAACACCAGGCCGAAGCATGGAGTAGATGGAGCAAGTTCCTATTCCATCTCCCTGCTCCAAAAGCCCATCTGATACATTGTCCTCAGTTAAATGATGTATCTATATTAAACTGGTCCAGAATAGATACTATGCCCTGGCAGGGTAGCTCAGTTGGTTATGTTATGGATTCCCTCCTGGTTGAGGGACATAAGAATCAACAAATGAATGCAAAACTAAGTGGAACAACAAGAAAAAAAGTTACTACACTTGATCTTAGCCAGAAGGCCAAGGAGACATTCAACTGCTTTTTTAAAAAAGTACTTCTTACAGTTGGAGAAACACTTACCTGAGTGGATGTTACCAACTCCTGGCGTGTCCTGCAGTGGGAAGTGGGGAAGAAAAAACTAGATATAGAAAGCTGGGGGATAACAGGCACTCACAGCTAGAGAAAGGGCAAACTAGGAGGCGGGTGGAGCCGATGCCACATGCTAGTTCTGTGCCCTAAATCCTAAGAGCACAGGAAACCACTGCAAGTCCTGTCCTCACGACTCGGTCTTCCTAGAAAGAAGGGCCTGCTACATGCCAGGTAGACAAAACCCTTTCTCATAACATACATGTTGGGGAAGAGAATTAAAACACAATTACATTCACAGGCTCGTACATGGTACTGCATCCATTTAAAAGAGAACTTCAGATAAGCCTTCCAGGAAATGTGGCATCTGAGCTAAAACCTGAGGGGAGGTTAGTAACCAGGTCTTGAGGAAAGGAGCATATTTAAGGCAATGCAAGTGCATGCGCACAAAGCAAAGAGCACAGTACAGCTGGAGTAAAGCCTAAGGCCCAGCCGGTGTGGCTCAGAGGTTGAGCATTGACCTATGAACCAGGTCACTGGTTTGATTCCTGCCCAGGGCACAAGCCTGGGTTGTGGACTCCATCCCCAGTATGGGGTGTGCAGGAGACAGCCGATCCATGATTCTCATAATTGGTATTTCTATCTCTGTTCCTCTCCCTTCAACTCTGATATTAAAAAAAAAACAAAAAAAGAAAAGACTAAAGACAGCAGGGGGAGGGGCAGGAACTGTTAAGAGATCAATGTACTGAGGCAGTGGACATACTTGCTAGGATGCGGAAGCTGGAGGGGAGATGATCTGCATTAAGCCTATTGGGAACACAGGAGGGGCTAATTGCAGATGCCACGGGACACCTAGGGATGTAATCAGCTGGACTTCTCCAGATGAGACAGGGTGGGTGTTGGCACTCCCAAATGGCAGTGGGGGCAACGGGTATGGATGGAGGGTGAGTAACACACCTGAAAACTACAGAACGAAGATAAGATGGGTGGAAACCTGGGAGAGGGGTATCTGGGAGCCGAGGGGCATTTGTGCTTTCCTAGCTGGCTTGTCCATTGTACCTGATGACCAATGAATGTCAGGGGTTGTCCTGTCTCCATCCAGTCAAGCTCGGGGGCAGGTGGCAGGTCCAAGTATGAGGGCCACTGTGAGGTGGAGGCTACTTGACTGAAAAAGACAGACAGGAACTAGGCTGGCAGACAAGGTCCTTGATCCACAAGGACAGCAAAGATGCGATTTGTTCCCATATCCCAGCCAAAAGTTACAGAATGCTGCCTAGCTGGTTTGGCTCAGTGCATAGAGCATTGGCCTGCAGAATGAAGGGTCCCAGGTTCAATTCCAATCAAGGGCACATGGCTGGGTTGTAGGCTCAATCCTCAGAAGGGGGTGTGCAGGAGGCAGCCAATCACTGATTCTCTTTCATCATTGATGTTTCTACCTCTTTCTCCCTCTCTCAGAAATCAATAAAAATATATTAGAGCCGAAACCAGTTTGGCACAGCGGTAGAGCGTCGGCCTGTGGACTGAAAGGTCCCAGGTTCTATTCCAGTCAAGGGCATGCACCTTGGTTGCGGGCACATCCCCAATATGGGGTGTGCAA